TAGCTTCAGTTTCATCCTGGGAGTTTTATTCAGATATTTTGATATGATTGATACAGTTTTTGTTTTGACACAGTTACTATGTTTTTTGAGTTACTCATTCCATGGTTCTTATTATATATGACATTCGATGATGTGATTTTTAGTAATATTAAAACAAAAATTTTTGGGTCGTATTTTGGGTCGTTTCAACCGGTCTGGTACCGCAAATGTGCAGGTCTACTAATAACCAACATCGTTTTCAAATCCGCATGGAGATGCCACCAACTCATCTACAACATTGCTTCTAATATTGTTCCTCACCCTCAAATTAGAGTTATTCAAGAAGTTCAATCTGTATAAATATGAAGCAGGTGATGAATAATGTCAATAAAATACTCAACTGAATGCTCCTATGAATAACAATCAAACCAAAAAAAATTGTGTTCACGAACTAAACAAGGGAACCAATATTTGAGTAATAAACATCATACTTATATCTGCAGGGCATCTTTACCATGGTTGTGGAGCATAGAATCAGCAACTACATCTACACATGAAAATATCACTCATACATACATTAAAAGGCAAAACAGATCAATAAAAGTATTATACAATTACATTTATCATTCATCTTAATCAGAAACCCATTTGAATGCCACTCTTCACCTTAAATATGAAGGAAAGCTAAAAAAAACACTATCTTATTTCAGGGCTAATGACATAAAACCCTCAGGTTATCAGGAAATGTTCGTATTTACCCTTTGATGAGTTTTATGTTCAATAATGCCTCATGTTTTGTTTAATTTGTTCAATTTTGCCTTGTATCAGGTTTAGCCGGTTGCATTTACAAGTGGTGGCCACATGAACCCGCTGACTGGACGAATTTTGCCTGAGGTGGCGCCACATAGGCGATGACATGAGCATCATAGTTTCATTTACTTAAAAACTATTTGTAAGACCTGTATGATATACAGGTTGGATAAAACAAAAACTAAAATATGAAGGTTTAAACAAAAATTTATTTAGAATTGAAATATAAAATTTAAATTTTGAATTTAATAGGAAACATATTAAATATTATATAAGTTGTAGTATTGTAATTTATTGGTTATTTTCAATTAAATCAATTATTAATTGAAGTATAAATATGATGTGTTAATTAAGAAAAAATAAAAAAATAACAAAATAACAAACAGAAAAAACATTTATTCAAAAATACCAAAAAATGACATGTGTCCAAGTTAATGAGGGAGTGACGTGTGGTAAAATTATTTTTATTTATTAGGGAGGATCGAAGGAAAGAGGGGCAGATGTTGGAACAAGGATTCGAACACACAACCTTCCCTACACAAAAACAACGAATTTACCACTACGCTATAGAATCTGTTGTGTTTAATTGTCGGATAAATAATATATGATGTGTAATGCTGAATCAATATATAATAATAATAATAATAATAATAATTATTATTATTATTATTATTATTATTATTATAATACGTTTTTAAACATATTTAAGATTATATGCACATATAAATACGTTTTAAAACCTTTTTAAGCATATAAAAATGTATTTACATATATTTAAAAATGTTTAAACATATTTATCATATTTATTTGTAACATTAAGTATAAAAGCAATTTTATACCTATAAAATATATAAAAATATATGAAAATGTTATATATAAATATATATTAAAATGGTTATGTATAAATACGTATTATATATATGTCTTTTATTGTTTGAATATGTTTTTTTTTCAAATAAAAATGTTATACGTATCAAACAAAATGTCACTTATATTTATAAAAAATATAAAAAAAAGAACTTAATTATATATTAAGAACATATTTATATGTTTTTAAACATATTAAGAACATATTTATATGTATCTATATATTTGAAAACGTGTATATATATATATATATATATATATATATATATCTATATATCTATATATATATATATATAAAATATATATTTATACGTTATTAAATATGTGTAAACACGTATAAAACTCTCTTTGGAAAAATTATTTATAAATACACTTTTATAAATATTTGTATACATTTTTAAATATGTATAAATACATAGTTTTAATAATAACTAGAAAGGATTCCCCGACGTTGCCGGGGTCGGAAGGTATTGCTTTGTAAATTAAAGTAGCATGTTGAATTGCATTGAGATAATCTAGTAAAGGAAGATAAACAATGTTATCTAATTACATAAGTAAAGAAATCTAAATCATTATTTCTTGCAATAAATGAGGAAAATAAAGAAACGGTCTCACACATTTATGTAATTTTGGTGGTGGTGGTGGTGGTAATGGCAGATGGTGGGTGGCTTTATGGTATTGGGTGAGTATTTTCTAATAAATAAAACATTAATTTAAAACCAAAAAGAGAAATATAAATTAATGAAAAAAATCGGATTAGGAGTAAAAGAGTAATTTCAGATCACTTTTGTAACAAAATGAAACCACATAAACCAAGTGCATAGAGGTTTCCATCGTTGTCCTCAATGTGTTAAATCTGGTAAACCACAGGGACCAATCGTGTAATTTTGTCTAACAATAATAATAATAATAATACCAACTAATAAAGTGACAATTAAACGAAAACATAAGGACCATTTTTGCCAAAAACCAAAAAAGACAAAAAGGAAGCAAATGACCCAAATATAGTTGAGGGGCCATTTCTGCCAAAAACCAAAAAAGACAAAAAGGAAGCAACTTTAAAATGACTCAAATATAGTTGAGGGACCATTTCTGCCAAAAACCAAAAAAAGACGTTAAATTTTTTCACAATCTTAATATATAAATAATAATAATACCAACTAATAAAGTGACAAGTAAACAAAAACATAGGGACCTACAATGCTACAAATAAACAGAAATAGAGGGACCAAAAAAGACAAAAATGAAGCAACTTTAAAATGACCCAACCGCGCCGGCCGAAGTGGTCATGTATGGTTATTTTATGTTCGTATTACAAATATGAATAACTAAGTTTTATGAATATAAATTGTAAATGGAATTAGGTAATTAGTAAAGATTTTTATAAAATACAACACTTGCAAAAAAAAAAAAAAAAGTAAAATGCCACTCTTTGAAGGGATTTGCTTTGAGATGCTTCTCCATTCGGATATGACTTCGCACGATCCAAGGCACCAACAAAAACAAATAGGCTGCAATCATTAGGCAGACATTTGCATTTTCAGCCTTGGTGTATAGAACATTAATGGCCACTAATAACAACAAACCAACATTTTTCTATTTAAAACTCAAGTTCCGAGCCTCAAAGTTATGTATTTTTCTCCAAGTACAGCAATCTAAAAATATATATTTGGTAATGGATTTAAAATATGATTCTTCATAATTTCAAATTATGAGTAAAACATGCGATAATGGGCAAATGAAACCAAAAATTGTTTTTAATGAGTATTTCGTCCCTTTATGAATTAAAAGGGTTAATTGGCATAATATGAGAAACTTATATGAGAATCATAAAATCATACATACTTATAAAGCTAGCATTTTTTCTTGAACCTCATGCATTTGAAACCCCCATAAAAATTTGCAAACACCTCATGCATTTGAAACCTCCTATTTTAATGAATACCACTCAAAAGTCTTTTAATAATGATTAACAATTCAAAGGTTTTATAACTTATATAATATATTTAATAAAAATTAATTGACTCTATTATAAAAAGGTCAATCTTTTTGAGTAGACACACAAATACAAATCACATACAAAATTCACAAAGAAAACAAGTTTAAAGTTTTTTGTGTTGGTTTGAGGGCTTTGAACAATTTTTCGAGCCATCTTATTATGTTGGAGTTTTTAATTTGTAAGTTTGTTATATACTAATTCTTTTTTGTATTTTCTTGATTTAAGTATTCTTTTAAAAATATCATTGTATGTTGTGGTTGAAATTTTAATGTAAATTAGATTAGATTCATGTTTTTTTTGGAAAGGGAACTTCCCTAACGAGGGTTTTCGGGCCAGCTTTCGCGCACCGACTAATCCCCCGCTGCAAACATGAGACTTTGCCTCATGCCCTGGAGTCACTGCAGGCGAACCTCCATGGCCACAAGGGCTGAGTGGTGTCAGGATTTGAATATGGGTCAATAGGTTATCCACCATATCTTCCACATGTCTTACCAAGTCACCACAACCCAAGTGGTAGATTAGATTCATATTATCGACCATATGTTATGGATTGTGATATATAATATTTAATTAACTACTGTATACATGTTTTTATGTTCATGTTGCTTCAAAACAATAATTAATTAAAAATCATGGATATGTCTTATTATCCATTTTATCCATGTAAGCCTTTTTTAAAATGCAAATTGTCTATCTTATCACTTTATATTTTAGTATATGTTTAACATTTTAATTACAATAATAAGTGTTTTTTAAAAGTTTCTTTCACTTATTAATAATAATAAGTGGTTTTAAAACTAATAAGCAATAATTATAAATAATAAAATCAAATTACATGGATATGTCATATTATCCATGCAAGTCTCTTTTGAAATGCAAATTGTCTATCTTATCACTTTATTATTTAGTGTATGTTTCACATTTTAATAATAATATTAAGTGTTTCTTAAAAGTCTTCTTTAACTTATTATTAATAATAAGTGGTTTAAAATTAATGAATAACAATTTTAAATGATAATAACATCTAGTTATAAGTTACATTTAGCCATAAATAAATTGTATTTAAAATGAACATCATTATTGAAATTTGAAAATGATCGCATAAGTAAAAATATAATTAATCAATAATAATAATTGTTAAAAATAATACTAAATAGATAATTATATTTGATTCTATTAACGATGAATATGGGTTGATGTCAATGAATATTATTGTTCAAAATAATTGATTATATATATATATATATATATATATATATATATAAATTAGTGTAAAAATATTATCTCAAAGTTAATGTCAATAACATAACCATTTTAAACATATATTTTTCAATATTTTTACAATATATTTTTAATCTTCGCTGTGCAACGCGTGGGAATTCGTCTAGTCATATAATAAAGCAAGGAGACTCACCCCGTGAGTTTTAACCTTTTAAGCAATCCGTTTTTTTTTTTACCTTTTTGTCCTTCTTGGGCACATCATTGAGAAAAGTCAGAAGACTAACCTCTTCCTCCCCAAAGGAATATCCTCTCCTCATATATTTAGGTGTTTTAAGTGCTAAAATAACAACCAAGTATCCATGAGTTCCTCTCCTCTAACTCAGCAGAATAAAAACTAATGTTCAGATGAGACCAGATACATGAACAAATAGTATTAGTGCAGATTAATACTCCACTTGAAAATTCAATCTCATAAGCAGGTGGTAAGATGAAACCCAATCAAAAGCATGAATTAGAAGAAGCCTCAATGTTCAACAATCAACAATTGCATATTTATCCCTGTAGCAAAAAAAAAGTGACAAAAATATATCATAAATTAAAATGCATTATACCTGAGACACAACTGAATCAGTTGACATCTCATCAAGTAGAATGAAGAAACAACTTAAAAATGTGGCGTAATTATTCAAGATTTTATAGAATCAGGTCTAATTTCAATTGTCTAAATAAGTAAATGACCATTTTACCCTTTTACTGGATAGGTCTATTAATCAAATTGAAGTTTTAAAACAATTTAATCAATACGTGGTTCCGACACATAATTGCAGTTCTGACACATAAACACTTCTCATTCAAATTCAAACAAATGTTAAGAAAAATTCTCAATTTTCGACATCCAAAAGAAAATTCAAACTAAAATGACTGATAACAAAATCTTTCATGTATTCGCTAACCAGTTCTGACGTCTGCTGCTCCTTATCCTCATACTTTCATCTCTTTCTTTTTCATTTTGCCTTTCTCTTCCTCTATTTCTACTTCTTTCTCACTTTTCTCTATAGCTCATTCCTGAAATACAAATCAAGTAGTTTTATCAAGCAGTTTCAGATAATCCAATTAGAAAAATGAAGTTTGAAGCAACTTGTGCATGGTGGTGTCTTGACACTCTTCAATGCAATATCCTGATTCTCCCTTATTTGAATAACAAACTTTGTTTTCCTATATGAGGCATAAGGTTGCAAACTGAAATGAAGTTACTCAGGTAGGAAAGACTAAATACGTCAAAATGCATTTATGAAAGGTAAAGATGATGTTACATGTATGGAATATCGGAATCGAAAATTCTTCGGTTAGCTTCTGAACAACCACAAAAGCAGGGAGCAAAGAAAAAAATCAACACATGTAGATAGTCAGACCATACAGACGATGCATGAAAAAAAAATGAAAAATCAATCAAATAAATCATAAATAAAAAAAAATAACACCTAGGGAAATTGAGGAAAAATGAGCACGATACACATCAAAGCCGCCTAAAATCGAACATGTTACAAACCCTAGACACCAATCGACAATACTAATAATAAGAGGGTTTGATAAAAATCTAACTTGGTGATGCTCAGTGTCGGAGAAAGAGCAGGGAAAGAGAAGCGGTTGCGTATTGCAGGTCCGATGAAGACAAAGGGCTTGTTGGGAATAGGAACGAAATTGTTGTTTGGATGCTTTTCTTTGTACTGTATATGGAAATCCTCCCTGAAACAATAAAAAAAACCAATGGATTAGAAAAAATAAAGAGTCTCCGGTTTAGGCGGTGGTAATAACCCAGACGGTGGTGGTTGGAATCCGCGATGACGATGATTTTGAGGGGCGTCGCAATTGGCAATAGTAGGACAATTGACGGACCCGCACGATGGAGAATATCGATTGTGTACCCCTTTCTCCAACTTTGAATCAAAGGATTTATGACTGAAGATAACAACCGGTGAGAAAGGAGGTGGAGATCGGAATTGCAGAAAATAAATGCAGAGGATTAAAGGTATATAGGTATTTGAGGCGGTGAACGGTGTAACCAAGGTCGAGTCAAATAAACCCATGAACACACGTGGCCTCCACCGATCAATTTATTGAGGGTGAGTGAGCAAAGAGATGCAGAAAAAACAAAAGAGGGGTCAGAAACTGATGAGGAGGCCAACCCTACACAAAGGACCAAAATTGCAAGGACCAAAATGCCATTTCAATAAATAAAGGGACCAATTTTGCCAACTCCTTAGGGAGTATACTGTTCCTTTTTTTCACATCTTTAATAATAATAATAAGAGTAAATTACTGAAATCGTCCCTATGGTTTGGTCAAAATTGCACGTTTGGTCCCTAACTTTTTTTTTGCACTCGGATCGTCCTTATGGTTTGATTTTGTTGCAAATTTCGTCCCTATGGTTTGGTCAAAATTACACGTTTGGTCCCTAACTTTATGTATGTAAGGGACGAAAAACGCAACAAAATCAAACCACAAGGACGATCCGAGTGCAAAAAAAAGTTAGGGACCAAACATGCAATTTTGACCAAACCATAGGGATGATTTCAGTAATTTACTCTAATAATAATAACAACAACAACAACAACAACAATAATAATAATAATAATAATAACAATAATAATAATCATCATCATCGCTATTAAGAGTATTATATATTGTTTGAGAAATAAAAACAGAAAAGAACATCCAGCTTAGTGGTAAGCTTCTTCGCTTTGGAATCGGAGCCGGCGAGTTCAAATCTTGTTGCAGCCACTTGTCTGATTTCTGCAGCCTATTTTTCATTAAGATGAAACTTTAGTTGCCATATCAGCGCCGACGTGTCGCGAAGCGCTGTCCACGTATGCGTAAACTTAAATGGTAGAACCAACAATTTCTTGAAAATATAAGGGATCTTGTTCTTCAAAACAAATCATTACATGAAGACCCAAAACAACCATCAATATGAAGTTTTGAGTTTAAAAAGCAAGCCATAATGCAAAAGCATACCTGATGATATCCGTTCGTGTGTATGCGAGAGACGAAAGAAACCATGTCCAAATCTGAAATAATAAAACCCAAAACAGCTATCAATTCCTTCTACATGAAACAATCGACAATTTCACACGCACAGTTAACAAAAACATCACAAAAATCTAAACTGCGAATGTGGACCTTTCTACAAAAAACAAAACAAACAAACTCGAAATGAGGAGTAGACAACATACCGTTCTCGCATGTTATGTAAAAAACTAGGCGAATGCCCGCGCGTTGCGCGGAAATACCTATATAGTTGAAGTCTTTACAAATACATGTTTTTTAAATATAACAATAACTTTGTTGATAAATTTGATATAATAATTCGTATATTGAATAGATATAATCTATTAGTTATTTTGAATTATATGATAATAGATACATCTATTATAACTGCATAATCTCAATCATTTGAATGACTTCTACCAGCGAGTTACACATGAATAAAAATTAAATATAATATATGGTTTAATGTTATTTATAGTTTTTGTTATTGTTAATTGATTTTTTAAAATTTATTTGCTTAATGTTTTAATTTCTGTCATTATAATTATTTAAAACATCAAACATTATTTTTTGATTTTAAAGGTTACAATATAATCATTTATATAGAATTATTTTAAACTATTATTATTATTGTAAGTTATTTTAAGCTACTTATTTGAAAACTTTTAACGATTATAAAAATATCTTTAGAAAATATTTTAGTTAAACTGAGATTACAATTTAGTTTTTATAATTATCACTACAATTTATCATTTTTAACTATTTAATAAATATTCTTTGCTTTTTTAGGTGGAACTGAAATTTATATTCAAGTTGACACTGTAATGTTATATTTAAATTAACAATTTAAGTATTTTGTGCAAACTGTTCAAAAGTTGTAGCTTTAAACTGATAATGGTTTACATACAACAACATTTTAAATCTAATAAATTAAATATAATATGTTAAAAGTAAAAAAAATTACTTTATTAGTAGAATTAAAGATATTATTTTAAAATTGAAATTTAGTTTATTTATGATTGCATTTCAGGTATTATATTTATTTAACCTTATTAACCAACTTATAATCATTATTAGAAAGACACTATAATTTATCACTTTTAACTATTTACAAAATATTATTTGGGTTTGTTTAAGTTAAACTAAAATTTATATTTAAGGGGACCATATAATGTTATACTTAAATTAATAATTTAAGTATTTTATACAAATTGTTCCAAAATTGTATCTTTAAAATGATAATGGTTACATCTAACAAAATATTAAAACTAATAAATTAAGTATATAATATGTTAAAATTTAACAAACATAAATTTATAAGTAGAAGTAAAGATATTATTTTAATATTGAAATTTAGTTTATATATGATTACAATTTAGGTTTTATATTTATTTGATATTATTAAACAACTTATAATTATTATTAGAAAGAAATTGAAAAGTTATGAGAGTTTCAAATGAATGTGGTGAAAGGAAAAATGCATGGGAGTTTCAAATAAATGTGGTGAAAGGAAAAATGCTTCCTTTATAAGTATACTAGACCCACGCGTTGCGCATAATACAACAATGTATTTGAAATCTTTACAAATATATGTTTTTCTAATGGGAAGTGATTCGTACACAACGGTTTTTATCCGTACACAACAATTTGTGCTTAATAGAGTTGTACAATACAACATTTTAAAGCACAAATTGTTGTGTATGGAGAATTTTTGTTGTGTACGGATCAGTTCCCTTTTCTAATATATCAATGACGTTGTTGTTAGCTCTTATATAATAAATCTTATAATAACTTGGTATAAACATTGTTTGTTTTGATTTATATGATAATGTAAACATCATTTAAAATTCTATAATCACAATTGTCTCAATGACCTCTACCTGCGGGTTACTAATGAATAAAATTAAATATAATGTATGGTCTAATGATATTTATAGTTACTGTTATGATTAATTAATTTTAAAATGTTTATTTGTTTATGATTTTAATATCTATCATTATAATTATTTAAAATATCAAACATTGTTTTTGCAAAGATAACAATATATATTTTATATATAATTTTACTTTTAACTATTATTGTTGTAAGTTATTTAAAATAACATATATGGAAACTCTTAATTATTTTAATTTGGTTTCAAAATCTTAACCTTTTTAAAATTCATTTGATGAATATTTTTAGTTTCTTTCATTGTAATTATTTAAAACAATAAACAATGTTTTTGTTTATAAATATATCATTATAATTTTTTATATAATATTACTTTAGCTATTCTTATTGTAAGTTATTTTTAAGCTACTTATTTGAAATTTCTTAATGACTATAAAAAATAGTTTATAACTATAATTTTTTATATAATATTACAATTTAGGTTTAACACTATAATTTATAACTTTTAACTTTTTTATAAAATAGTATCTCGATTTTTTTCAAGTTTAACTAAAATTTTGATTTAAGTTAAACGTTTAACATTATATTGAAAATAATAATTTAACTATTTTGCATAAAATCATAAACTATACAAAAGTTGTGACTTTAAAATGATAATTGCTTACATACGAAAACATATATAAAATAATAAGCTAACTACAATTTATCACTTTTAACTATTCACAAAATATTCTTTGAGTTTTTTAAGTGGAACTGGCATTTATATTTAAGTTAACACTGTAATGTTATATTTAAATTAACAATTTAAGTATTTTATACAAATTATTCAAAAGTTGTACCTTTAAAATGATAATGGTTTACATCCAACAATATATTAAAACTAATAAATTAAGTATAATATGTTAAAAGTTAAAGACATAACTTTATAAGTAGAAGTAAATATATTATTTTAATATTGAAATTTAGTTTATTTATGATTACACTTTAGGTTTGATATTTATTTAACCTTATTAACCAACTTATGATCATTATTAGAAAGACAATATAATTTATCACTTGTAACTATTTACATAATATTCTTTAGGCTATTTAAGTTGAACTAAAATTTATATTTAAGTTGACCCTGTAATGTTATATTTAAATTAATAATTTAAGTATTTTATACAAATTATTCAAAAGTTGTACCTTTAAAATGATAATGGTTTACATCCAACAATATATTAAAACTAATAAATTAAGTATAATATGTTAAAAGTTAAAAAACATAACTTTATAAGTAGAAGTAAAGATATTCTTTTAATATTGAAATTTAGTTTATATATGATTACACTTTATGTTTAATATTAATTTAACCTTATTAACCAAATTATAATCATTATTAGAAAGAAATTGAAAACTCATGAGAGTTTCAAATGAATGTGGTAAAAGAAAAAATGCATGAGAGTTTCAAATGAATGTGGTGAAAGGAAAAATGTTTCCTTTATAAGTATATATAGATATATAGATTGTGTTGATGAAAAAAACCAATATTTGAGTAATAAACATCACACAAAGGGAGAAAGGTTATCGGATGTATTGAAACCAGTGGAAGAGGTGGATTGGGTTCATCATGGCAATTTGGAGGTACCGGTGTGTCATCGCCGGTGTGACAAGCTGTGCCGCAACCCCTTTTTGGATGGCAAAACTAATTCTTTTAAAAACAACATTTATAGATCTTGGAGTCATAAAATTACTATGCATGACCCGTTGGACCCTATTGAGTAGCTCCACAGCATCTGATGCAAGGAAACTGAAAGTATCAAATGCAAATGGTATAAACGTGTGTTGATTTTCCATGCACGTGTACATATAGACATAAGTCATATGTGATTCATTTGTGATTTACATGTAAATCATATGTGATTCATATGTGAATTATGTTAGAACTTTGCTTTACAATGTGGGACTTATCCCACATTGGTGGAAGAGAAAACCTTTTCCCACCTTATATGTCTTGTCCCACTCATTTAATCAAATGGATCAAGTAATGGGTTAAGCATATTGGGCTTGGTTTGTGGTGTTGGACTAGCCTAATTGGACACAAAATAGGCTAATATCAAGAGAATATTTAATGGTCAAAAGATGGGCCTTGGGCCTTGGGGTCTTACT